CGCCTCTGGCGCCGCCCCTGTCGCCGGGGTCCAGGGCCGACCCAAGGAGCCGGTCCTGGTGCCTGTCATGCCCACCAGCAGAAGGGTCGGCGCCAGGCCCTTCACCATTCCAGCCAGGCCAGGCGAGCTCCTCGGGTGGCCTCCCAGAGGTCCCTGGAAGCCCGTGGAGGCCCCCAGCAATAGCCAAGAGCGCTCCAAGACCTGCATCCTCTGCTCTCGGCCCTTGAGCCTCCAGGAGCTCGAGGAGAAGTCCGTCGGCAATCCTAGCGCTTACGTCAAGAAGGCCGCCAAGGCCATGGGCCTGGCGCCCGCCGAGGATGCCGCTCCGCCTCCGAGGTCAAAGGGCGGCGGGCCTAGCTCAGCACCGCTCGGTCCGCCCCGCAGGGTGGTCGTCGACCAGTCGATCCCGAGCGTTCGGCGTCGGCGCCTCCAGCGCCGCTCCTTGCGCGCACCGCGCGCCAGGGAGGGGGATCCAGCGCCGATCCACGAAATCCGCGCGGACCTTCTGCAGTTAATGTTCATGCTTTTATGGTGTCCTCTCTTGAACCAGAACCCGCCTGCCTGCTCGTGTCCCACGGACATTTCCCATTCCCCGATCTCGTTTGTGGACCCGCAGAAGCTTCGGGGCACCTCGGCAAGCTTAGGATTCGTCGACGAGCGTGCCCCACGATTTCTTACAGCGGTGTCCTGTGGCACAGGCTCGATCTGGCCTAGGGCTTGGTTTCGATCCGATGTTGGTTCTTCACGCTCTCACGTTGCCCCCGGAGTGTCCTCCTGGGACAACAGGGTGAGTTGTCGAACTCATGTGCACTAGGTTCATGCGGCGTTGGCGCGCCGGCGACGCCCGCAAATGCGTCCAAGGTTGAATTCTGCGACGTGGAAGCGCCGATGGACACAGTAACGCCAGCGGACCCGACTGAATTCAACCTGGAACGATCGAGGCTGTGATCGCTTTGCTGGTGAACGATCGACGCGGGGTCACAGGGCTTTTGCGCGCGCCGGCGTCGCGCGAACCTACCGTGTGCGCTTGCACAGACTTGCATCAGATCCGTCCTGCTGGTACGTCGGAGTGCGGGGGCCGAACGGTCATTTAGTTGTCCCTGGGTGGCCGAAGGGGAGGCCCAAGGCGCAGGTTCTGCTTGCCGTTGTTTGTTGTTTGTTGTCTGTTGTTTGTTAATGTGTTGTCTGTTGTTTGTTTGTTGTGTGTTGTTTGTGGTTTGTTGTTTGTTGTCAGTTGTTTGTTGTTTGCAGTTTTTTTGTTTGTTGTTTGTTGTCAGTTGTTTGTTAGTTATTTGGTGTTGATGTTGAATATTCATTTCTAAAGAATAATAACTGTTGCTGATCTCCAGAAACGGTTCCGCGCGCTCTCGCCTCAACGCCGGCTACATTTTCTCTGAAAACGAGGCGCCCGCTCGAGCGTTGGCTTGAGCCTAAATGTGGGCCCTTGGAGGCCCAGCTACGACAACAACGGCTCCCGCTCGATACTTCCTCACAAATTACCCCGAGACACCCTGGCCAGAGAGGCCCCCGAACTCAGGAACGGCGCTCTCGCTCGAGACTTCCTCGCAAATCAATCAGGTTGGGGGAGGCCCAGCCACGACGGCAAGGGCTCCTGCTCGATACTTCCTCACGATTTACTCCGAGAGCCCCTGGCCAAGGAGGCCCCCGAGCTCAGGAACGGCGCTCTCGCTCGAGACTTTCCCGTAATTCAGGCAAGTTGGTGGAGGCCCAGACACGGCGACAAGGGCTCCTGTTCGATATTTCTCCATCGGGATTCCGAGAGCCCCTGGCCAGAGAGGCACCCGAACTCAGGAACGGCGCTCTCGCTCGAGAATTCTTCGCACTTTAGTCAGTGGCCGACAGGGAAGATATTCCCCACTAAAGGGGGTGCAATCGAAGACAAAGTGGGCGGGTATCGAGGGTAGGGGTATACGGAATGCAAGACACACATGCCTGTAAGAGCGAACAGTCTTAAACTGTTTGTTGTTGAACATTATTTCTTCTTAAGAATAATTATTGTTGGGACCCCTGGTGCGCGGCCCCCTCGCCGCGCCTAGGCCGCAGCCTCATTTTCATCATTTTCGTGAGGAAGTCTCAGGCAAAACGATGTGTACCAGATCCGGTTGTGTTGTTACGATCGGTTTTCCCTTGCAAAAAATAAGCTAAAGTGGACATTTCTTGTTCTAACATAACCAAACTTCAAGAATCCCTTGCAAAAAATAAGGTAAAGTGGACATTCGCGCGCGCAAGACGAAATCCTTCCAAAACCTTAGTTTTCGTAGCGATTTTAACATAAAAACATCAAAAAACCAATGGTTTTTCAAAAAAAAATGTCAAAATTTCATCCCGCGCGCTCTTGCGGATTCGTAGGAAACCCAACACTTTTTAAACATTTCTGTCAAACGGGCTTTTGCGAGCAACTTTTTCGAACTTCTGCAACAACGGTTGCGCACCTGCCAGGGCCATCATCCCTGTCAAATAATACCATGCGGGACACATTCGTTTTTTCTTCGCGCGCGCACGCCGTCGTCGTCGGCCGCGGGGCCCTGAATAGTAGCCACGGTCGTCCGCATGCCACGAAGTGAAGTGTCCGAACGTCATAGGGCGGGAAGCTGGGTGTGGGTGGTGGCGAAGAGTCGTTTGGAAATTTGGTAGAGCTTGAACCGGCCCCCCCACAAAGTGGGGGTATTGCCCGCCTCCTATGAAAACCCTGGCACTGGTGAGAACGGAGTGTCCCCACGTGCTAGTAATTGTTGTTGTTGTTGTTGTTGTTGTTGTTGTTGTTGTTGTTGTTGTTGTTGTTGAACTTCCATTTTTAAAGAATAATTATTGTTGATCCCCCCCACCGGTGCACATGGATTTTTTTCAATTGAAGTGCCCCCCCCCGGGGCTCGCACCTTGTTTTTTGTCAAGAAAAGTCTTCCTGCTCAAACTGGCCCCCTGGCCCCCGGGTTACAACAACAACGGCTCCCGCCTGAGACTTCCTCGCAATTTAGCCAGGACCCCCGCTCCCGCCCGAGACTTCCTCGCATTTTATTCAAGAATCGGGCTCTCGCTTTGGATTTCCTTACGATTTATTCAGGAATCGCTCCTCCTGCGCTCTGGAGTCGCACTCTCGCTGGAGACTTGCTTGCAATTTACTGAAGAATAGCGCCCTTGGCGTTGGAATTTCTTGCAATTAACTCCAGCGCCGCGCTCCCGACACCCAGGCACCCAGGAGTCGCGCTCACGCTTAGGACTCCTTCACAGATTACCTAGGAATCTGGATCTCGCTGCCCTTCGTGGCCCCGTTGCAGCCCTTCGTGGCCCCGCTTTGTTTCGTGGCCCCGTTGCAGCCCTTCGTGGCCCCCTCGCTTTGTTTCGTGGACCTGTTGCAGCAGCAGCCCTTCGCGGCCCCCTCGCTGCCCTTCGTGGCCCCGTTGCAGCCCTTCGTGGCCCCGTTGCAGCCCTTCGTGGCCCCCTCGCTTTGTTTCGTGGCCCCATATATGTATGCCCTTCGTGGCCCCCGCTCGTTCGCGCCCGTGGTGGCCCCATATGCATGCCCTTCGTGGCCCCGCTGTCGCCCTTCGTGGCCCCCTCGCTGCCCTTCGTGTCCCCGTTGCTGCCCTCAGTGGCCCCGTCCGTACTCTCCGCGGCCCAAAATACTTATGCCCTTCGTGGCCCCCGCTCGTTCGCGCACGTTGTGGCCCCATGTGCATGCCCTTCGTGGCCCCGCTGGCGCCGTTTGTGGCCCCCTCATTGTCCTACGTGGCCCAGGTGCTACCCTCAGTGGCCCCATCGTTGCCTCCTTCTGTGGCCCCGCATTATCTGCCCTTCGTGGCCCACGCTCGTTCGCGCTCTTCGTGGCCCCATACGCATTCCCTTCGTGTCCCCGCTGTCGCCCTTCGTGGCCTACTTCGTGTCCTTCGTGGCTCTGCTGCCGTTCTCTCTCGCTCTCGCTTTCTCTCGTCGTCGTCGTCGCCGTCGCCGTCGTTGCCGTCGTCGTCGACGTCGTCGTCGTCGTCGTCGTCGTCGTCGTCGTCGTCGTCGTCGTCGGTCCCCTGTCCGTCCCTCTTGGGGTCGGGTCGACGGTCCGCGGCCGCCCCGCCGATCAGCGCTGCCGCTGGCCAGGCCGACGGTCCGCGGCCGCCCCGCCGCTTGCCGGGGCCCGGCCTGCAGGGAAGACAGGTATAGCCCCCAAAAGGGGCTCGATCGAAGACGAAGGGCGGGTATCGAGGGTTTGGGAAATACGCGTTATTCGACACTCGAGCAGATAAGGGCGAACAGTCTTAAAATGATTACTGTTGCTGTTGTTGTTGCTGTTGTTGGTGCTGTTGAACTCTCATTTCTGAAGAACATGTATAGTTGACCCCCCCGCCAAGTGCACATTGTATTTTTCAATTGAAGTGTCCTTCCTGGGGATTGGACCCTGCTTTTTTCTCAGGGAAAGTCTTGAGCGTCAAACTGCGCCCCTGGCTCCTGAGTTACAATAACAACGGCTCCCGCCTGATACGTCCCCACAAGTTATTGCAAAATCAGGCTTTCGCTCCAGACTTCCGTGCAATTTATTCAGGAATCGCGATCTCGCCTGAGACTTCCTCGCGATTCATACAGGACGCACGCTTCAGCAACCCGCCTGCTCGACCTGACCGCCTGGGCCCGCCTTGCCGACCCACCTGTTAGGGCCTACCTGCCAGATCTGCGCGTTGTTTTCTGCTCCTAGTTCCTCTCCTGCTACATTCTCTCGTGCTCCGTCCTGCTCCCTCCCCCGTGCTCCCTTCCTTCCGTCCGTCCTCGCTTCTCCTGCCTTAGGGGCTGCACTCAGTGCGCGTGGCAGGTAAGGAGATCTATGATCCTGGCTCCCGGTCCGGCGGGCCTCCCCCCCCCCAGATGGGATGGGTCCCAGGACTCGGCGGGCCCCCACCCCACTCCCCACTCCCAGATGGGATGGGGGGGGACGACGTCGCTGCCGTCGTCGTCGCCGTCGTAGTCGTCGCCGTCGTCGTCGTCGTCATCGTCGTTGCTGCCGTCGTCGTCGCCGTCGTCGTCGTCGTCGTCGCCATCGTCGTCGTCGTCGCCGTCGTTGTCCCTCCCTCCCCCCTTCCCTCCTCTCCCCTTGCCCCTACATGTCTCCCTTGCTCTACCCCCCCTCTCTCACGCCCTTTCTGGAACGAAGAGACGGAAAGGAAGGCAGAGGCAAACGACGTACACGACACCCCTGCACACGCGCGCAGAACGACGAGGGGGCAGCAGGATGGAGGGCGAGGAGAAGGAGGAGAGCAGGAGGAAGGGGGAGGAAGAGGGAGCAGGAGCAAAAGGAGAGCGTGAGGAAGAAGGAGGAGGAACAGGAGGAGGGAGGAGGAATATGAGAGCAAAAGGATGAGTGAGGAGCAGGGAAGAGGGCGAGGAGAAGCCTTTTGAAGTTCACACAACCTGTTTTGGTCACAAAACACGTTTTTGAACAATTGCGATGGTCTTGTGCTTCAGGAGTTTTCATATGTTAGCAGTTTCGCGTCGTGCGTGGGCGCAATCTGTTCCGTCTCGATTATTCGTCCGGCAGACGCACGCCAGATTGAGCGCGCCCTTGACATCATCGGAAGTGGCTCACCCACACTGATTACGGTGATCATGCATTATTGCAGTGGCACCACCCCTCCGTCAAATGTAGAAATTTTACATGAGGCCTGGGACGGCGATGAGTATGCCGATGCGGATGCCGATGCCGAGTCTGACGACTCTGACGACGACGACGACGAAAACGAAAACTACGACGACGGCCCCCACCGCCCCACACTCACAGGCCATAGGTCCCAGTGGGTGTGCCCGCTTGCGTCCCGCACACCCATTTCGGCACACCCCTCACACGTTTCGTGGCCCCATACGGAGCTCCACCGAAGGTCCCAGTGGGTGTGCCCGCATGCGTCCCGCACACCCATTTCGGCACACCCTTCACACGTTTCGTGGCCCCATACGGAGCTCCACCGAAGGTCCCAGTGGGTGTGCCCGCATGCGTCCCGCATACCCATTTCGGCAAACCCCTCACACGTTTCGTGGCCTCATAGAGGCTCCACCGAAGGCGTTCTCCATTGGAAAAGGCTAACGGGGGTGCCTCGGCATTTTCGAAGGTTCACGTCGAGGTTTGAAGTGCGAACCTCGAGGATCGAGGCTCGAAGCTTTCTGGCCTTCGGAGGCCCGTCGTCGCCATGACGGTCTCAGCCAGCAGCGATCCATGAGGCGGACATTGGGGGGAGCTCAGTCAGCGTCGCCCCGGCCGTCTCCCAGCTTCGCGCAAAACCTCACATGTCCGGCGGCGGCGGCGGCGGCGGCTGCGACGACGACGACGACGACGACGACGACGATGACGACGACGACGACGACGACGACGACGACGACGACGACGACGACGGCGGCGACGACGACGACGACGATTCGCTAGGTGCGTCGACGATGCGTCGACGATGCGGCGCGACCCTTCGACCCTGGCCCCCTTCGGGAGGCCTGCGGCAGGTTCGCGTTGTGTGGACGCGCTGGCGATCCGTTCAAGGTTGAACGCCAGGCCCATTTCGGGCCCTGGGGCCCACGGAAACGAACCCACGGCGCGAAATCAATAACGAAGATGGGGTCGAGAGGATCCAGGGACCTCCAGGAGCGGAGATCGTTCGAGGTGAATGCTCCCCACGGTGTCAGGGACCAGCAACAGGGTCGTCTCTACACGAACCCGCCGCGCATAGGATGACCTTTGACGGAGCGGGTGTCCCGCCGGCCTCCCCGAGCAGGGCTCGACGCAGCTTCGGATAGGAAGCGTCGGAGGCGTTCGGGCTCCGGGAGGGGTCCCAGGACCGTAATCGAGCTCATATCTCTCCTCTCGCCTCCATCCCCAACCGGAGGAGGACGAGGAGGAAGAGGAGGAGGAGGCCGAGGAGGAGGAGGAGGAGGGGGAGGCGGAGGCGAGGAGGAGGAGGACGGTTCGTGGCCCCGTAGGGAGCGCCACCGAAGAAGATATTCACAATTGCGGTACTCACAACTGCATATGGTTGGGTCCTTCGCCAGGATAATTTTTTTTGTCTCTGGGGGGGGGGGGCGTTGCAGCGCTGGCAATGTGACAACGTGCAGCCCAGCATGGAAAGCGAAGTGGGCGCGAATTTCCCCCGCGCGGCGGAGCCCATCATTCAGCAGCGGGCGGATGACAGCCGCGGCTCGCAGGCGGACGGCGCGCTCCGCGTCGGTCGCTGCGCGGGTGCGAGGGGGGCCGCCGCCGGAATTGGCGAGCGGGTTTCTCGGTTCCGCGCGCGCGTCAGCGCGCCGACAGGATTGCGTCCGATTGCGGAATCAACGAAATGCCTGTTCAGATCCCACGGCGACGGGGTCCCGCGACAACATGCAGCTGCTCTGCCGCGAGCGGGGGGTCGAGTTCGCGGAGTCTCTGGAACCGCGTCTGGGGCGCCTGGGGGCATGGCGTCATGTTGCTGGGGTGGAGTCTCGGGGGGTTCGAAGACATGAGGAAGCAGCTCGACTTGGGCGGAAGGCTATGCGAAATTCTGGTCGAGTAAAGTTCCCTGAGAAAGATGTTTTCAACGGCGTGGTGACGAACGCGTATCTCTCGGGAATGAGGGGCTCAGGGGCTATCGGATCGCGCTGCCGAACATGCAGATGGACTCGTTGTGACGCATGCTCGGGCGCTGCCAATGAGGGAAGAGAGTGCCGCGCATCGTTGCCGGGAGGGGCACGTCGTCCACCGCTGAACGCTAAGCGATGCCGAAGTACTCAGACGGTTGAAGAAACCCACTGCGACTTAGTGTTCTCAGCTACGACGGCTTCGACATGCTGCCAACTCCCCGCGTGGCCCCGCTGAACTACCGGGGGCCCTTACCGCTGCTGTCAAAGAGGTGTTGCCCATCTGGCGAGGCGAGGGCAGCCCGCGCACTCGGTCAACCCGCGCTTGAATCAGTGCGCGCGTGGGGTTTCGCGCGCGCGGGGCTCGGCGTTCCAGGGCGCGTCGGTAGACAGGTTCAATCTGCATTGCTTAGACGACGCGCGCGCCATGCGTCGTTCGACTCGTCGGCCCTCTTGCCCCCCCCCGAAAGAGCGCGTGATCGATTTCGGCGAACCGCCTCCTGGCCCCTTTCCCGCTTGCCGCCTTTTTCGCTGGATCTCTGCTAATGTGGGTTCGCGGTCGACGGGGCCCCTCGCGCCGTTTCGTATCTTCCGCGCGATCAGCTCCGCGCTCATGGATTTCGCGTGCGTGGCCGATGGTGCGATCGCAGAAAAGCAGTCGTAACTAAAACATGCCCATAGCGTTATCGAGTGTTTGCGACTACAGCGAATGCTAAACTACATTACCTTGCGAGAGGTAAGAGGGACCCACTGACGTGTCCGACGGACAGGGGTTCGTCTGGCGGTGTTTTTTCGGCCCGTCGCGCCTCCTCGCCACCCATGTCGCGCCCGTTCCGCACGTGTCGGACCTTCTCGACCCCAGAGGAATCCCGCCAGCACATGTGACCATACTTCTCCGAGCAGGAACTGCATGGAGGCTCCAGCGGCGTCGATGAAGGAGACCAGGCGGTGATCGGACGCAGAAGAAAAGAGCGGCCGTGATGGCGGGCGCACAGATGCGCGAGTTAGCAGTAACCGCGGCTAAGACGGTGGTGGGGACAAACGGAGATGTGAGACGCATGATAGGTGCGTTGGAGACGACGGTGGATGTTTCAGATGAGCACACATACTTGGCCCAGATGCAGGAGGGGCGTCGAGGGCACGACGAGAGGGGGGCGGCGCTGGAGGAGAGCAAAGACTTGGAAGGCCTTCAGACGAGGATGCCTTCACACGAGCGGTGCCTGGTTGGCTTGATCAGGGCGGTGGTGGCGGGCTGCAGTACTCACGGCGTTGCCGAGAGTGTGAGCGACCAGATTCTTACACCAGAGAAGTTTTCGGAGGGAAATGGCGCATCAATGCGACGGTCGAGCCCAAACTAAAGCGGGTGCACAGTGAGCTGACGAGCGCGATCGGCGCCAAGCCGAAAACCGAGCTGAGGTGTGGCCCACCCACGCACAGACCGAATGTCCGGGACGTGATCTCATAGCCGGTGTCGGGAGCGTTGAGACGGGGCTCTATGCAAACGGGGGTCAGCCAGAGCGCCCGATCTTGCAGGATCCTGCAGGGCCAGGGTCGCATTGACCCGGGCTTGGGTGCAGGATCCTTCGCATTGAACCGGGTTTGGGTGCAGGATCTTGCAGGATTCTGCAAGGCCTGACTGACCCTGGTCTGGATTGACCCGGGCCAGAAGATCCCCGATGGTGAGCATGGGGGAGTTCCAGGAGCCTTCGGTGCAAGGGTGAGGCCAGGATAGCCGCCGCCTCGTCTTGCCGAGCTTGCCGTACCAGCCTCACCCTGCTCTTCCCTGCTTGTTTGACCTTTTGCTCCTCCTCCTCCTTCACATTCAGAGTTGGTGCCACGTTTCTTGTTTTTTTGTTATTTCTTTATTTTTTGTTTGTTTTGTATCTTTCACCTCGGAAGCCCCCAAAAGAGTGTTGTCAGGAGTTTAGCTACGTTTGTTTGGGATCGAGGGCGATTCAGGTTATGATCGGAGTGCCCCGAAATCGAGAGGTGGTGGAGCTGCGCGTCTCGTGGCCGCCCATTGGTTTCGTGGGTTCCAGCGTTTCGCCGTGAATTCTTGGCCCCCCCACCCATAGTTATATCGCGCCGGAGGCCAGCGGTCTGGGGAGGTTTGCTCTTTGGGGCCCGCTGCACCTCAAGACCATGGAGTCCAGCATATAGGCCGTTCAATGATACACTAGAGCCGGCCTGCTGGGGACGTAGTGAAGAGAGACTGCAGACTCTTCCTCCTTCTCCTCCTTCTCCTCCTCCTCCTCCTCCTCCTACTCCTCCTGTTCCAGAGGAGGGGCTAGATGAGCGCCATGTAACGGGCCGTTCCAGCTGGTGCGGGGCATGCCGAGGCGGTGGCAAGAGCAAGAACCCCAAGCCGCCGCCCCCTCCCAGGGGCACCATCAGTACCATCGGCAAGGACCCCGTCGACATCCGTGGGGTGAAGGATGGGGGAGGGAGGGAGGGAGGGAGGGGAGGCAGCGGAGTAAAGGGGGAAGCATGAGGAGGATGATGCTGATGATGATGATGGTGATGGTGATGGTGATGGTGATGATGATGATGATGATGATGATGATGATGATGATGATGATGATGATGATGGTGACGATGATGGTGATGATGGTGATGTTCCTGCTGATGATGATGATGAGGATGACCATGATGATGCTGATCATGACGATGGTGATGGTGATGTCGATGATGGTGACGATGATGCTGATGATGATGATGATGACGGTGCTGCTGACGATGATGATGATGATGATGATGATGATGATGATGATGATGAGGAGGATCATGATGACTATGATGATGGTGCTGATGACGGCGATGGTGATGGTGATGCCTGATGGTGATACTGATGATACTGATGATGATGATGATGATGATGATGATGATGATGATGATGATGATGATGATGATGATAGTGGTGATGCTGCTGACGTTTCCGATGATGATACTGATGATGATGATGCTGATGATGATAATGGTGATGGTGATGGTAATGGTGATTGTGCTGGTGGTGATGCTCATGCTGGTGTTGATGATGATGATGCTGCTGATGCTGATGCTGATCATGATGATGGTGATTATGATGGCGATGGTGATGGAGATGATGATGCTGATAGTGATGGCGATGGCGGTGGTGATGATGATGGTGGTGGTGGTGATGATGATGTTGGTGATACTGATGGTGGTGGTTGTGCAAATGATGATGGTGATGCTAGTTATGCTGATGATGATGATGGTGGTGGTGATGATGATGCTGCTGATGGTGAGTGTGATGTTGATGGCGACAGTGATGGTGATGATGACGGTGATGATGACGACGATGGTTGTGGTGACCATGATGGTGGCGATGACGATACTGACAATGATGATGGTGGTGATAGTAGTGACTGGGACGGTGAGGGTGATGGTGATCGTGATGGTCATGATGATGACGATGACGATGTTGATGATGGTGGTGGTGGTGATGATGTGGTGGTGCTGCTGATGATGATGAAGCTCATGATGAGGTGGAGGGGGATGATGATGATGATGATGGTGATGATGATGATGATGATGACGATGATGATGATGATGATGATGATGATGATGATGATGATGATGATGATGATGATGATGATGATGATGATGATGATGATGAGGAGGAGGAGGAGGAGGAGGAGGACGAGGAGGAGGAGGAGGAGGACGAGGAGAAGGAGGGAGGAGGAGGAGGAGGAGGGGCAGGAGGAGGGGCAGGAGGAGGAGGAGGAGGAGGAGGAGGAGGAGGAGGAGAAGGCAGAGGAGGAAGACGACTTCACCCCTGCGACGGCGGCGAGGGCGAGGGACACGCGGCCTTCGGCTCGCCTGCGCGACTGGGCCTGGAAGGCTCGTGCGCGCCCAGGAGCGGGCCAGCCAGGTGGCCGCCAGGCCGTCCAGCGCTGAAAGGCCTACAGACTTCTCCCCCCCCTCCTCCTCCCCCTCCCCTCTCCTCCTCCTCCTCCTCCTCCTCCTCCTCTCCTCCTCCTCCTCCTCCTCCTCCGCTGAAAGGCCGCTGAAATCAACCTCAAAAATGGCGACCACGCCCCTGCGACGTCGGCGCGTCCTTCGATGTCGACAGACGCCCCTCCAGATGTCGGGGCCAGGGCAAAAATTGCCTGACCGGGAACGACTCGGAAGTTCGATGATGACCGACATTGGAGGGGCGGCGCATACAAGTACCTCGCAGTCACCGCTACTCTGTCCAGTATCTCTCCACAAACAGTTCAGCCACGTAAGATAATTTTGAGGTTAATTTTGACGAGGGTTGTAGTTTGTGGGCGCGGGAGAATGAGACCACCGCCCCTGGAAGACGAGTGCAATGATACGGATGCTTCCTTTTCAGCAGTCGGTGGCGACGAGTCTTAGCGTATGGCCACCCGGCTCAAGGGGATATCCCAGGAGCAGTGTGCACGCTCCGGCGCCGGCAAGAGTGCCGCAGAGCCTGCAGACAAGCGCACTGGCAGACTCTCGCTGGCCGATGCTGTCGAGGCCTCTCGACAGCAGCCGCGACAGCTCTGGACGGCCTGCCTCCAGCGACAGCCGAGGTGAGAACACCCTCGGCAAAGTCTGCGGGCCAGCACTGGCTTGGCCTGCGCGGGACGAGCTCGCTCGCCACACTTGCTGCTGCCCACCCCACCGCGGGCGGATGCCCTGCAGGCGGGAGCGGGTCACGCCCAGGAGGAGGGCCAGGGGGCCAGTCACATTTTCCCTACTGAACCCCTCCCCCCCGCCCAGCCGCGGCGAGGGGGATCAGCAGCAGCAGGGGACCAGGCTGCATTCTGCCGGCGGCCTGTCGTTGCACCAGACGTGCCTTTCAGAGAGGTCACCGTGCCCGCCAAGTGGAGCACGACGCTGACTCGGGAAAACTTGCGGCCCAGATGGCCTTCGAGTTTTTACTCGCACAAAGCCCTGCGCCAGCCTTGGCCTTGAAGTTGGCCGCCTGGTTGTCTCCCAGAGCGAAGCGCTAGTGTCGAGCAGGTCGATACCCGCGGAGCAATCGCTGAGTGCCCAAGAGCGCCGAATATTTTGGCAAGTTGGTGGCCGCTCGCATCAGTATGAGCTCTTCGGGGTGCTCCACTGTGGGCTGAAGGCACGGTGGCAGATGAGGAGCAGGAGTCGGCGACGTGGAGGAGTACGATAATGATGACGATGGTGACGATGACGATGATGCTGCTGATGATGATCGTGATGACGATTCCGATGATCATGATAATGAAGGTGAAGATGATGATAATGAGTATGATGATGATGGTGATGTTTATTGTGATGATGATGTTGATGATGACTGTGATGCGGATGCTGATGAATAGGATGAGTCTTATTATGATGATCCTGATGATGATCATGATCATTCCCGTGATGATGAGAACGATGATGACGACGATGCTTACGTTGATTATGATGTTGATGATGAGGGTGATGATGATGATGGTGGTTGTGATGATGATGATGATGGCAACGATGATTCTGGTGATTAGGATGGTGTTGATGATGATATAACGGTGATGATTCTGACTATGATAGTGATGCTGACCACGACACGATGAGAGCAATGATGATGATGATGATGATGATGATGATGATGATGATGATGATGATGATGATGGTGATGGTGATGGTGATGGTGATGGTGATGATGATGATGATGATGATGATGATGATGATAATTATGATGACAACAAGGAGGAGAGGAGGAGGACGAGGAGAAGGAGGAGACGGAGGAGGAGAAGGAGGAGAAGGAGGGGGAGGAGGAAGAAGAGGGAAGACAGGAGTCGGAGGAGGAGGAAAATGGCGGCGATGAGGGAAGACATGATGATGACGGTGATGGTGAAGATGAATATGATGATGATGACGATGATGATGGTGATGATGATGATGGTGATGATGGTGACGATGAATATGATGCTGATGCTGATGCTGATGATGATGCTGATGCTGATGCTGATGCTGATGCTGCTGCTGATGATGATGATGATGACGATGAGGAGGAGGAGGAGGGAAGACAGGAATCGGTGGGGGAGGAGAGTGAGGTCGAGGAGGGAAGACATGAGGAGGATCAGGAGGAGGAGAAGGAGGAGGAGGAGGAGGAGGCCCAGGCCCCCGCGCCGCCGCGCCGGGTCCCAGGGAGGGGCCGTCAACAGCGCGCGGCCGCGATCGGCTGCGCGCGTACCACGTGTGCAACAATTTCTGGGTGTACATTTTCATCCACCTGTGGGAGATCAATTGCGGCTACAACATAATTAACCAGTGGGTGATCATCCGCGAAAATGAGATTAGTTGCGTTGTAACATCAAGCCCCTGTTGTTGTTACGAGACTTACCCATCTCTGTGGAAACGTACCGGCAATGATGCCAAGACCAGACACGTATACAGGAACATGGACGCGAACAGGCGCTGCCCAAAAACGATCGGGGTACAACGTCCAGCATGGGTTACAGCCTCGACGCTACGACATTAGAACCATCATCATCAGCATCAGCATCAGCATAAGCGTCATCATCATCATCATCATCATCATCATCACCATCATCATCATCATCATCATCATAATCATCATCACCGTCACCATCACCATCATCATCATCATCATCATCATCATCATCATCATCATCATTGCTACGACCGCCCTCGCGGGAACGTCCAAGCACGAGCTACATAACAGGCAGCCCGAGTGCGTTAATGAGCTGCGTAACAGGCAGCCCAAAGAAGAGTACCACCACAATGACGCCACCTAGACCGACACCAGGCACGACGCGACCGAGCAGCCCGAAGAGGGCACATAGTACGTCGTCGTGGAGGTACCGGTGGACAACGGCCGCTCCGCCCACGACTAGTACGATGCCAGCGATGCCGCCTACGACGAGTACTACTACGACAACATTTTTGACGGCGACCCTGTCCCCCACGACCCTCGCGATTATTCCGGTTTCCAGGTCTACGACGGGCCTCGGGGCTACGACAGCCCCCAGGACTACAGTGACACTTAAGGCGGGGAAAGCTACGACTTGGCAGCCGACGATTCAGACTTGGACCCCAGGGACTACGAAGAAAGCGTGCCACTCCATCGGCGATCCAACCCGAGCTACAGCAGCCACCAGCAGAGTTACCAGGGCAACCAGACGACCTTCGGGGACCACAGGCTGAACTACGAGGACCGCACGCACAGCTGGTACAGGCATCTGAAGAGCTTCGAGACCCGCCTGCTGAGCTGCGAGAGCCACCAGCAGAGCCACGAGAGCCGCAAGCTGAGCTTTGAGGACCGCGAGTTAAGCCACGAGAGCCACAAGAAGGGTCACGAGGCCCACCGGCCGATCCATGAGGGCCACCAGCATAGCTACGAGGGCCGCCAGCAGAGCTACGAGGACTACCAGGTGAGCGAACGGAGCCACCAGC